AATTTCAAATTAGCAAATTGTAGCAAATAAATTTAATAAACATTTCTTAGAAAGTATCGACATTATAATCAGTGAAATAATAATTCCAAAATACTTTGATACAGTAATAGCAAACATAGACAGTCATGAGCTATTTAATACATTTAAAGTTATTAATTTGCATGAATTAAAAAGAATTATGTACACATTAAGAGATACTGCTGGAACAGAAGATGGCATATCTACAAAAATAATTAAGGACGCGTTTATGGTTACCAGAAATCGTTTTCTGGATATTATAAATTCATCATTACAGAGTGGAATTTTCGCCAGTGACTGGAAAACATCATGTGTTGTACCTGTGTCAAAGTATGTAATACTTATTTCTGTGAAGAATTTAGGCCAATTAATACTATGAAATATATGAAAAGCTCTTGGAAATTGTAGTTAAAATCCAACTTTTTAGTATAACATTGCGATAAAAATAATGTGATAGTCTCAAATCAATCAGGATTTCGTAAACAATATTCTTGAGAATCGGTAATACTAAATATAAGTGATAAATGGGTTAAGGCAATTGATGACAATAATATTATTTTGGCAGTTTTCTTGGATTTTCGAAGAGTTTCTAAAACTGTTAATAGAGAAGTACTGGTAAGAAAACTAGAGAAAATTGGAATTCGTAATACAGCACTAGAGTGGTTTAAATCTTATTTATCTAGTCGTTATCAAAAAGTAAAATATACAAATTTTGTAACCGATCAACTAGAAAATTTAAATGGTGTACCACTGGGTACGGACTTGGGACCTATTTTGTTTCTGTTATATATAAATGATATTGTAAAATATGTAAAAAAGTGTAAGGAAATGATAAGCATAATGAATGATGAATTGAAAAACATGTACAATTGATTATGTAATAATGATTTATATGAAATCTAAATATATGTTCATAGGAAATAATTGTAAATTAAACATTCATAATTCATTAAATATATCGATAAATAATAACACTCTGGAAAAAGTTACCGAAATGAAATATTTAGGTATGTATGTCACTTTTTATAATATAGAATAGGATCATCTCTTAATATGTATATACGATGTTAATTTTATACAAAGCATTGAATTTTGTTCAACGGTTTTATTCCATATAGGTCAAAATCAAATACAGCAAATACAAAAAATACAAAACCGAGCAATGAGATTATACTAGGATGTAATAAATATACACCTATGAAATTAATGAAAAACAAAATGTTACCAGCCGACAGGCGATATATTAAAGTATAATCATGATATTCACAATTATCCAACTAGGAGTGCTACAGATTTTTTTCATTGAAGCATTTAATAGGAGTAACACTAAAAATTTGTAATAACTTCACAACGTTCAAAAGACTTCGTTGTGAATATGTAAAAAAATAGTTTTTAAGACATGTAAATCACTGGCTGTTCTTCTATAGGGCCATTTGGTCAATGACTTCCCACATACAAATAAAAAATAGAGCTATTCATTTTCTGAAGTTTAAAAATATATAATATATATATTTTTAATATTCTTAAAAAATATATTAAAGTTTCTATCTAGTTCATTCTATGCACAATACTATTCAAATATCGGGCCTCTACATTCATATTCATTACATTATTCATTTATAGAATTTAAAAATCTTGGGTCAATCCACAACTTGTCCTCAAAGCTAGCTACGGACCGAATTTACAACAATTTAAAGTGAAATAGACTTATGCGCGAATCGTCAGAAAGCAAAAGAGACAGAAAACACTAGCGGGGACAATGTCCCTGACAAATTTTACGGAAACGGTAACGCACGAAGTTCGCTAGTAGAGCAGTCTTAATGCTGACTAGGTACGCGTTGTTCGGTAAATTCTGTCGCGTTGTTTTTAATGTTCTTATTAGTGAACATTTTATTAGTAAATCTCTACTTGTCGTGAAATTAAGTAAAACAGTGTTTTTGGTGTTTACTATTAAATATGAGTGTTGTACTAAATATATTAAAACTGAAAGATGGACATAAGTTGGGTTATGAATACCGAGTGAAATTTAAAGGTGGTGGCCGTCCAAAACCTAATATGACGATAAAGCAAACATCTCTTGATAAGAAAAAAGAAAGAAGTTAATAGGTATTTTCGAAATTCAGTGTACGATTTATCCGAGTGGATTTGCGGATGCGAGGTAAAAAATGCATTTTTTTGTTTCCCATGCCTGTTATTTGGTGATGATCCTGATCCTATATGGTCCAAAATAGGTGTAACTGACTTGAAACATTTAAAAATAAAAGTACAGAAAGATTCGCTCGCATCAAGTCTTATGAATAACTGTTGTAGTCTAGCAACACTTGGTACAGTTGATATTAGAATGCAGTTAGACAGTGCCTATAGAAAAAGTTTAAAAGCTTACAACGAAAACGTTTCTAAAAATAGATATATTTTAAATAAAATAATAGATAGTTCCAATAAAGTACAAGTAGTTTTTGTGTTTAGATAGGTTTTAGACGGTGTTGTATGTGAGAGATTTTGGAAATTTATTCAGCATCAAGGAACGACATCGCAGCATTTGACAGATGTAATTTTAAAAGAGTTAGAATGTCTGAAAATTAATGAAGGTTCTGAAAAATTAATAGCACAAAGTTACGATGGAGCATCAGTAATGAGTGGTGCTTTTGGAGGTGTACAAGCCAAAATTAAAAAAGTTATCCTTCAACAAATTTTATTCATTGTTACGCTCATCAGCTAAATTTAATTTTACAGAAAGCATCAAGTCAGGATAAAAGCATAAAATTTTTTTTTGCTAATTTACATAGCTTTTCTTCATTCTTTGGAAAATCGCCAAAAAGAACAGCCGTGTTAGATAATGTTGTTAAGGTGAGATTACCTAAAGCGGCTCCAACACGATGGAATTTTAATACAAAGTGCATAGAGACTGTTTATATCTATCGAACAGAATTATTAGATTGTTTAGAAAAAATCATTGATAATAAATCCGAAAACAACTTACAAAATGAACATTTTCTTTACTGGTTAAATTTTTTCATTTAGTTATGCCTCATTGTGATATATTGTTCAATCAATTACAAAAATGTAATATCGATGTCATAACAGTAAATAAGTGTATTGGCGTTTTTAATAGTAAAATTGAAGACATCAGAAATAAAATTTTGAATAACTATTTGGAGGAGACATCCATGCAGTCTGCCCAGAGATGTAAAACGGAAGAATCAAAAGGAGAATTTCATTAGACGTTTGTGATATAATTACATCTGAGATCAAAAACAGGTTTGGCTTCAGTAATCATTTAGCAGTGTCTCAGTAATTTCACGCAGATCGATTTAAAGATTATAAAAAAAGCTTTCCTCAAGATATGTTTAAATTAGTTAAAACGGAGTATCCAGTCATAAATCATTTGAAACTTAAAACTGAATTAGAAGTATTATATAGCCGAGCAGATTTTTCCAATAGTGAAGGTGATGTTGCTTTGTTACAGCTTTTTATTAACAATAATTTGTGCAATACTTTTTCTGAAAGTGTCAAACTGTTAAAAATCTTGTGTACTCTCCTATGACTACCGTCGAAAGTGAACGTTGTTTTTTCACCTTAAAAAGAATAAAGACATTTTTAAGAAATACCATGGGTCAGGAAAGGTTATCTTCTTTAGCTATGCTTACCATAGAAAGGGCATTAATAAAGAAGAAAAGACTTTAATGAAAAAGTAATTGACCACTTTGCATCTCAAAAAGACCGGAGGATCGACTTGGAATTCAAATCACTTCAAAAGGTAGGTAATACAGTAAACTTTTCTAATTGACTTCCCTATCTCTTGACCCACGAACCGCCACTGATGTAAATGTTCCATTTTTTGTTTAAAATAATTAATTACGTTAAGTTTATGTGTCAATTATATATAAACAGCTTAAGCTAAATAAAGATATATTATTATTAGGAGTTGAATGAATATATTCCCAAGTACGGTACACAAAATACAACGGCTAATTGATATAAGTTTTATTGGTACTTCAGCCATGTTGAATTACATTTATTATTTAATTGCAGTCATAAGTCCTAAAGTAAATTATAATTTCGATATAAAACTTCGTAAGACAATATAATAATACTAAAAGAACTGGAGTAACAAGAATCTCACAAAATACAATTTCCATCTAAAAATTGGGTTTCTCTCTTCTGACTTCTGCCGAAATGAAATTGAGAAAACCAATAGATCCGGCTAATAATACCAAATCGATAATTTGTAGACTTCAATAAAATTCACTTTAGGATAAAGCTTCTTGTTATTCATACACCTCGAGAATATTAAACGTTAAGAAGAATTTTATTATAAATTTCGCTTCTTTCCATCCATATAAAATCTTCGCAGTATTGGAAATACTTGATTGCGTTTTCTGAATTTTCGTAAAACATAATCTTATTTATGAAGAAAATGAGTTTTGAACAATACCGCATGAACTGCAAAGATAATATTCGGACAATTTCCTGTTGCCAAACTTGAAATATAAAACCAACAATATTTTTGATAGGAGATGAAAACAATGCCAGTTACAATTTTAAAAGTGTATTCTTATTAAATATATTAAAATTTAATTTTCTCCTATTGAAATTGTGATTTATAAGTTGTGGAGAAGGAAGTTACGAGCAATTTGCACAAAAAATTTATTATCAACAATAAATTTTAATTACTGGCCAAAGTTTCGGTGAATAGTTGCCACCATCTTCAAGGCTGCACGAACCAAATCATGTTTTTTAAAAATCTTCTCTTTGCAGCAGAAGATGGTGGAAACTATCCAAGTAATTAAAATTTATTGTTGACAATAAATTTGTTGTCCAAATTGTTCGTAACTTCTTTCTCCATCTTACGAAGTGGACGTGAATTGGTAACTACAACATGCAGTTATATGTTGTGTAAATTATCAAGTTTTATTATCGACCGGTATGAAGGATATTTTACACAAATATGCCAAATTTCAATATAGGATTTCCCTACTGTTGCTTCGTGGTCGAGCGGTTATGACACTTGCTTCTAACTCTGGAGTCTCGGGTTCAAACCCCGGTCGAGGAGCTGGAGTTTTTTCTAAAGCAGAAATTAGTTCTAGCATACAAGGATATTGAGTGTGTGTCTGTTGTCTCAAAATGTATAGCCCCATCACGCACAAGATACCTTGAGCTACCTTATATTAACTGTTATGTTTAATTTAATTAAAAAATTGTGTTGTGAACGTTTTAAACATTTTATTTTCTCATGTATCTATAGACAGAGAAAGTATTGGCGTCCTGCAAAACATCAGATTCTAGAGTATGATGAAAATGTACGTTTTGAAATCCGAATACAGAAGATGTATCTGAATCGGCATGCTGTCTATGTGTCTGTGTATTTCTGGTCATTGGTGTGATACGATTTTCTCGACCACATCTCAAGGTAGAAATCTGAAACTTTACATATAATTTAAGGGGGGTTCTAGGAAGAACCCTTTTAAATATTAGTCAAATTGGTCATCGGGGAGGGCACGCTTCGAAGGAGTTAAAAAAAATTGCGTCAAATCAAAAATGTTTTAAATACAAAATTTTCATAATGAGGAAATGTGTTGAAAAGAACTCTCGAGAATTCTTCGTCATATTAACCGTTAGTGCGTAAAACGCTACTCATTATAACAATTTAAAATAGGTGAAAAATAAATTATTTTGTTTTATGTCCTTCTCGTTTATATCGTTTCTCCTATTTATCTTATTTGTCTTATTTATTTTATTTGTCACATTTATCTTATTTATATTACTTATCTCAATTTTCTCATTTATCTTACTAGTCTCATTTATCTCACTTGAGAAAACATTGTCGATGAACATCTAGCCGATAACAGAAACCCCACGACCACGACCCGACCCGACCATAACCTGACCATTGGCTAGTGATGAAAACATATTATATTCTATTCAAAGTAGGTAAGGCCTTTTATTGACTTAAATTTGTAGCTGCTTGATATGACAATACTAAAACTAAACGTTTCAAATACTCATGATCATAGATATGCTACATAATCTGCTAATTGGATTAGATAAAATCCCTCTCATCAAATATTGCCTACATGCCAATAAGTAATCCTTACCTTTTCGTTCAGAGTCTTCTTAAGGAACCTGCAATAAAAAAGTAGGTGTGAGTATAGTTAGTGAGTGTAATAAAATAACAGGCTTATTACACTAATTAATTTTCTTCACAGTCTAACTGTACATGTAAGAAGAAATTCTACTATAATTAATTATTTTGCCAAGATTTATGCTCTCTTGTGTACTGCGATAGAATTTTTATTAATTGTCATGAGTTTGTTTTATAATTTATAAATTGCACCTTGTTTTATTATGATTACTTCTATACAATCATTTGCCATGATAAGAAGTTTTTAATTTATTTCTAGGTATCAATAGTCATTTAAACTACACTAATTATTCTCAATATTATTAGGTGTTAATTCTGTTAACGATATTTAAATCTATGTCTTATGGGACCATCACATAGTTTGGTTTTGAATTTATTAAATTATTGTGTAAGGCATGAGTGTCAAATTAAGTATTTTTCATCCATGGCTAACCTGATAATCTGGTAGATGCTGGTAGTATAAAATTTGCAATAAATAAAAACAGTAACAAATAAAATACAACTATATATATATATATAAATAATATATAATTTATATATATATATATATATATATATATATATATATATATATATATATATATATATATATATATATATATATATATATATATAAATAGAGATTTCAAACATGTAAAAAAATATAGTATTCCATTTAAAAATGAAAGTTTGGTTTGACCCGCTTTTATGTATATTCTTTGCAGAGATTTTAAAAGAGCGCATTTTGATTCACTACAACTTTTACTTGAAAAATTATTTTCTAACTAAAAATAAACAAAATATAGGAATGTGCCTTCGTTAGATAACCCTGTACATGCAAAACACAGTTCAAGTTTAGCTAGGGCGAGACTCTTGATTATAGAACGTATGATACATTATGCGTAGGATTCTTTTTTCCACGTCGGTCTATTTAAAATATTTGCAAGTAATAATATATTTTGATAGATTATTTTACATTATACAAGAAGAAAATTAACAAAATTTTGTGAGTAAAATGTCAGAGAAATAATTTTTTATGAACACTGTTAGTCCATTTTCATTTATGTTGTATATAAAAATTGAAACAAATTCCAATTTAAATAACAAAGCACCTATTCAAGGTTGTAAGGAAAACCTATTTTAATTAAATTAATGAAAATGATTTTTATTTAAATTGGTATATAAAACCAAACATTTTTTCATAATTAATACCACAGGAAGTTTCGATTTTATCGGATAAATTTTTCTTTACGTGAAAACTTGGTTGTCATGACAATAAAACAAGAGCAAACTGTTTTACAAAAAGAGGAGACCGTTTTTATACTGATAATATTATGTTTTTAATAACTATACTATTAGCAAATAAATTTGTTAATTGTTAATTTATTATCCATGTTATTACATAGTCGAGGAATCGTCATGCCAATACCACGAGGTTTCTATTTTGAATAGGATAATTTTTTTACTTACAATTCGTCTTTTTACAAATTGCGAAAATGATCTGGTAGTTTTAAGAGTTTGGAGACTAATTTAATATTTTCGCTGATACTGTGGAACTGAGTTAGTAATAAAAAAGCAAATATAACCACTGAATTCTCGTCGACGTTTTCAGTATCTGTTTGTATCTGAAATATGAGTCGGTAATAAGTTCGCTAGTTTCTAACGATTCCTTTTATAAGAAATACAGAAAACAATAAATGTGGTGTAGCAAGCTTGCAAGTCCACAATGGAATATAATATTTCTGAAGTACATATAATGCACAGGTTTCTCTTTTGCAACAGAAATGTCGAGCAAAATTTGTTATTTTGTTGAAGCAGATAAATGGACAACTAAATATTTCTTTTTCCATTGTGTGGATACAATATTGCACACTCTGGTAAATCGAGTATAACTCTGAAATAATATACAATTTAAAATATAAATGTAAAATATTTACGTAAAATTAAGTGTAGAAAAAAACATTACGTACATATATGTAGTTATAATTCCCTTCACCAAAAATACATTCATATCACTTACACACGTAAATATTTTTGTACGAAACAAATAATACATCCAAGGAAAAATAATTTTATTATGTAAATATTAAATATTGCATTATTTAATTTGTTTCTTTTACAGGATGTCTGCATAAAAGCCGTCACGGGGAACCAATACCTCCGTTCGAGCTCTAAACAGAATAGATTGAGTTTGTGAATTTTTATGTCAAACATTCGCCTGACATATATGTAGATTAGTATTAGAGTAAACTTTTACTATAATGTGCTTTTTCCGAGACGATGTCAAATCAAAATGTTAACGTTTTTAATTAAATAATTAACAAATTTTTACACATTAATTCTAGTATCTAAAACCGGATTTGTAAAGTTAAAAACCGAGTTTTGGATTTTACAAATTTATCCAAGAAAACCGGTTTTTAAAACCTAACTGGTACCTCTAATTCTAAGATGAATGTCACTAAAAATTAACTATTTTTAGTGTCAGCACAGTACAAATTCTTTAGGTTAACATATTCTAAGTGTAATGCAATAATATTATATTTCTTATACTATATTATGGATAAATTTATTGAAATTTAGTGTTAGATTATCGAAAATGAACCATTTTCATGTAAATAGCCACTTTCATCTACATCTGCACCTAATACGTATCATATCAACTAATATCAAAAATATATTTTTTAATGAAAATGCATTCTTGTTAATGCATATAGTGCACTTTTTCCGTATGTAAATTCTGTTTTCTCTTACTGACAATCATTTTAGATCAAAACTTATACCTACTAAGATCGATGTTTTTTTGTGAGACACACTAGCTGTTAGAAGGCGTGCGAAATTAAAGTAAAAATATGAATTTTCCCGGCAGTTATTTATTCCGATACATACTCAACAAGAGATCATCTACACTCTCCGCTTTATGCATTCGCTACATATTATTTTATGATGGTAAAAACAGCTCTCATCATATTGTAACGAAGTGATTTTATTTTATAGAATTTAGTTAGGTAACTGGGTGCTATTTGTCTGTTTCGAAAAATATTTTAACCATTGTAGTACTGCGCTTTTAATAAGTGGTATTGTCAGCTGATCATTAATAACAGTTTAATTGTTAATTATAGATAGGTAGTATTGATATGTTTTTATGAACATTCCACATAGGCCAAGTGGCTGGCAGTACGTGAATCGCGAAACGCGAAGCGCGCATTGTGTCCCCGGCACCCTTATGCCCGCGCTACCGTGAAGGAGCCCGAGACTGAAAACAATCAAGTTAGTTCCCGTCCGACCGCCAACCGAAGAACCACGCCGATCAGCACAGTAAGTAAACTCAGCATCCGAGTCAGTCCGTTGCTGCCGCCCGTACCGACCAGACGTGCCGACCCCGACCGCTCCAGAGAGGAAGCAGCCCAGGACACGGAAGTAGGTAGCAAGGTTTGATAAAGGTTTGGTAAATAAAAGGTATTACTTGGCTGGTATGTATTTTCCGGAAATTGTTTAGAGTTGGTAAAACGCGACCGCCCCATCCGTGGAATCCGTCCGCCGTCTGCTTATGGCCGTTTAATTATTGCTGGTTACCTTTTCACCGCTTGAGTCACCGGATTACCGTATCGCACCGCTTGACCGCCCGCTTACTGCCCCCTCTCGCCCGTAGTTAAGACCGTTGTAGTATAAGTTGTAAGTAACCTAGTAATGTAAGAACCGTTAGCCATACGTTGTAGTTACTAAGGTGTATATAAAGTGTAAATAATAATTAGTGTGTAGAATAAATGTAAATATATTGAATAAGAGCCGTTTCATTAACTGTAGTGTGTAAGTTGCCTTTTTCTCGACCCCTGGCTTAGCCGTTTCTTCACTGTAGTTGCCCGGCCTTTATCGTCCCGCCGATAGAGTAAAGTGGTGTTTCTGCACTCTAAACAGAAACTGGCGCCCGCGATAT